TTGCCCCCGCCCCCCCCCCCCCCCCCCCAAAAAAAATTTATTCTACACCACTGGGAAAAGCAAATGTTAGTAGAAACAAAAGTAACACCCACCTCCCTACTGCATCTGCAGGCAACAATAGGAGCAATTACACTCTGTCACTACAGCAGATACAACAGGCTTTCTTAAAGAAGCATTATAGCTCAGAGCACACAACATTCAACAAACCCCCCCCCCCCCCCCCCCAAAAAAAATTTATTCTACACCACTGGGAAAAGCAAATGTTAGTAGAAACAAAAGTAACACCCACCTCCCTACTGCATCTGCAGGCAACAATAGGAGCAATTACACTCTGTCACTACAGCAGATACAACAGGCTTTCTTAAAGAAGCATTATAGCTCAGAGCACACAACATTCAACAAAGTCTGGGAAAACTGACAGGACATGCGCTCTCTGGGGAACAACCAGTTCCCTCTGTTCAAATGCATGATACTCTCCACAACTCTGATGAAGGACAGGTGGCATCAATTAGGCTCCTGTGAGAGGACAGGGAGAATCAGAGGAAAACAGGCAAAAACTACACTTCACAGCAGGCTGTTGGGCATCAGGGAAACACAATCTCACACACACAGATTCACAAAATGAATAACAATAAATTACATACGTCCTGGGGCATTATTTAAGGAATACTTCACCCAAAAATGAGAATTCTGTTATTATTTACTCACCCTCATGTTGTTCCAAGCCTGTACAAATTTCTTTATTCTGTTGAACAAAAAGATATTTTGAAGAATGTGGGTAGCCAAATAGTTTCTGGTAACCATTGACTTCCATAGTATTTTTCTTTCCGTACTATGAAAGTCAATATGGACCAGCAATTTTTTTTTAACTCATATTCTTCAAAATATTATCTTTTCTGTTCAACAGAAGAAAGGTGACATTTTTCAGTTTTGGGAAAACGATCCATTTAATAATGTATTAAAAGTTCAAGTAGAGAAGATGTGAGAAGTTGTACTGCAGTTATCAACAATATTAATAGCTATTCTGATGCATTTTTAAATGGCAAGTTTTCAAAGCATATAACAAGTTTGCATGTACTCTATACATCAGGCATGGGCAGATGCCTTCAGAAGTAGTCCAGATTTGACTGGAGTAGTCCACGTCTATGAAGAAATGAAGAGGAAGGGTATAGAGTTTCCTCAATCTGACTTGGAGACCTTGTCTCCCATTCACACACCACAACGGGTAGGTGTTGATGTTAGCCATTTTATGGTTTGTTTATCACAGAGGTTATGACAGCTCCTACTAAAATATTATGCCCCTTATCATTTACTTAACTTTATCACTTTACATTCCCTCTTTATCTGCAATTTCGTTCATTGTCTTTAATAGCTGCAAAGTGCACCAGAGATGGACCAGCAGAAATATAACGCCCCAGTCCAGCCCAAGCCACAGCCTCACCCTGCCTCCGCTCCTCCATTTTCTGCCCCGGTGACTCACACTTCCCCACAGATGCCCAATCTGCCAATGTCTGGACCCATCAACCCTTCCCCTGAACAGGTACTGTAGAACCTCCTTCTTTCGTTCTTTTAAATGGGATGGATGAACATTTGTTTTCATAGATTGCATAATAATGTAATAAAATATAATTCATTAGATTTGCAAGCTGCGCAGTGAGCTCGACATTGTGCGTGGGAACACTAAGGTGATGTCGGAGATGTTGACTGAAATGGTTCCCGGTCAAGAGGATCCATCCGATCATGAGCTTCTGCAGGTTTCTCATTCAGATTTTTTTTTAATGTTTAAAAAGAGCTTGAAAGAGCTACAGAAGGCCTCTAGAGGGCGTGTTGGTGCAGCATTTACTTTTTTTTTTTTTATTCAGTGTAACTGAATTTGCTTCCTTTGTTTAAAGGAGTTAAACAGAACATGCAGGGCCATGCAGCAGAGGATAGTTGAGCTCATCTCACGTGTGTCCAATGAGGAAGTCACAGAGGAGCTCCTGCACATCAATGATGACCTCAACAACATCTTCCTACGATATGAGAGGTGTGATCAAGCACAATGAAAATACCTTTTCTTTAACGTGATATCCACCCAAAAATATTTACTCAGCCTCATGTTAATCTTCGAAACACAAATTAAGATATATTTTAATAAAACCTGAGAAGTTTCTGTTCCTTCATTGAAATGCCAGGTAACCAAACCTTCCAAGAAGTTCCAAAAGGTTATAAAGGTATTGTAAAATGAATCCCTATGAACAGAGCAGTTTAATCCAAGTCTTGTGTGAACAGATTTAATTTAGGCTTTTATTTACATCTAAACAATTATCAACCTACATAGAGCACATGGCATATGGTAATCTAGTAAGGCAAGCTCAAACGTGCGTCCATGATGCACAAGAACCTAGGGCTGGGCGATATAGCTAAACATTTTATCAACGATTTAATATTTCATATCGTTCGGTATTGATAATTATTGACATTTTTTATAACCTTTTTTAAAACAAAAAGCAGTAGAAATAACTTTTAAATTTAAAAACTGTATTTATAATTAACACAATTTATTGAGACAAACAACAAATATTTTAGTTTTAACACAAATTAAGATATATTTTAATAAAACCTGAGAAGTTTCTGTTCCTTCATTGAAATGCCAGGTAACCAAACCTTCCAAGAAGTTCCAAAAGGTTATAAAGGTATTGTAAAATGAATCCCTATGAACAGAGCAGTTTAATCCAAGTCTTGTGTGAACAGATTTAATTTAGGCTTTTATTTACATCTAAACAATTATCAACCTACATAGAGCACATGGCATATGGTAATCTAGTAAGGCAAGCTCAAACGTGCGTCCATGATGCACAAGAACCTAGGGCTGGGCGATATAGCTAAACATTTTATCAACGATTTAATATTTCATATCGTTCGGTATTGATAATTATTGACATTTTTTATAACCTTTTTTAAAACAAAAAGCAGTAGAAATAACGTTTAAATTTAAAAACTGTATTTATAATTAACACAATTTATTGAGACCAACAACAAATGTTTTAGTTTTAACAATCGAACACAATAAAAATTAAACAAATAACTAATTTCTAATGTTTTATATGCAGATTAAATAGGTCTTTATTGTATAGGTCGAATTGTCTCCCGAGGCCACAGGAGGGCGCAATGAGCAAAATAATGCAGCGCATTTAGCAAGTAACTCTATAAAAACGTGCATTACGTCTTAATTAACTCATAAAAATCTAATATAATTTCGTAAATTGCATAAACAATTATGAACAAAACAGCATCATGTATTTATGCATTGCTTAATCCAAAGAGCTGAAGCGCCATTCACACAGATTGCATTTAAAAAACATACGAGACGCAGTGAAAATGAATAAACCTCCACAAATTTTTTTGTTTTCTAAAAGTTTAAACTGTTTTAACTTTGCATGGCTTTCTATACATCTCTTATGAGACGCGAGTGCAGCAGTCATTTGTCCGTCTAAAAAATGCACTGAATATGCGTTCTGTGTGAATGGCTTGGTTTCGGTTTTAACCCATTCAAGATCTTCTCTGCATTGAGCTTCTATATTTCTCTAATATTTTGAATGAATAATGCAGCAGTGGCATCGTGGGCTAGACTAACAAAACATTAAAATGCAACAACGTCACTTACATCATCACCATATCTCACGCGCCACTGATGACGCACCCTGATGCACACCTAACATTCAAATGCAAATGTTTATTTTAAATTAGACTAATATTCATTCTTTATTCACAATCTCCTCATCACAGGCAGGCACAGCACTCATTTCAGCATGTGTTTGTGTGTGCTGTCTGCGTCACTCATAGTACGTGCCTATATCGTGCGCTATATCGTACATTTTTTCTATCGATATCGAAGAAGGTGTACCGTCGATAAATATCGATACCGTTTTATCGCCCAGGCCTACGAGAACCAATGAGGTTTGTTCTAGCACATGATGCACACATGAGCTTTCATATTTACGCTCTATGTATGTGTGTTTATATGCGGAAAAAAAGTCAAAACTAAACCTGTTTATTATATAGAGTGATCATATCTCTTTACAAGACTTGGATTAAATCATGATTCATGTAGATTAATTTTATGATGCCTTTATGACCTTTTTGGATACTTTAAGTCTTGGCTACCCGGACTTTAAAGGGGTCATATGATGCTTTTTTAAAGATCATTATTTGGTGTATTTAGTGTAACAGAATATGTTACACCAAATACTCAAATACCAAATGTTCAAAAAACACATTATTTTTCAAATACTGTTCATTATTGTAGGTCCTCAGTAAATAATGTCATTAGTTTTACCATCAGTTCAAGCCCGAAAGGGGAACAGACACAGTAATGATGCAGTACACAAGCCGCGGTTAAGACAGCTGACTCTACTGTGATGTGACTCGCGCGCGCGTGCACTCTCACACACACACACACACACACACACACACGATGCGCAAAACTCCGCATTTGAACAGTCAATAGCAAGTACTTAAACTAAGAACAAAACAGTAGCTGATTCAGAAGTGCCAGATTGTCATAGCAAAGTCAGAATTACCTCCTCTCCTAGGTTCACGGAACGGTCGTCCATAAAATGCATTGCTGTTCTGTTGTAAGTAATCTTAAAGATTCCTAAATGCATCTACTTTCGGAAGGCCAAATAAAGTGCTTTTGCTTTCGCCTAGAAACACACAGCGTCTCCCTGACATGCTGCTTCAACACTAACTGCGGTTACTGAAACCACGCCTTCTTTCTTTGCATGCACATTTGGGCGCCTTATGCAAATATTCCCACATAGTGACCTAGATATGTGGGGGCGTGTTAGAACGAGCCGTTTTAGGGGGGCGTGGCAGAGTCTTAACTTTGATAAAGAATATATCTTTGGGTTTGTAACTTTAGTCTTTGCAACTTCAGGGATCTTATCTATGCACAATCAGCTTGTAACACTCCAAAGTGAAAACTTGAAATCGCATCATATGACCCCTTTAAATAGAGGAAAAGAAACCGCTCAGGTTTCGTTAAAAAAAATCTTACTTTGTGTTTTAAAAAATAACCAAAGTCTAATGGGTTTGGGATGGCATGAGGGTAAATGATGACTGAATTTTCATTTTTTGGGTGAACTATCCTTTTAATGCTTCATAAAAAGGCTGTTTTAAGTGAGAGTAAGGTTTTAATAAGTTGTCTTGATTCTGATTGCTCACTTTTTTTTTTAGATATGAGAGATTCCGATCTGGCCGAACTGCTCAAGGCATAAACAATGGGGTGGGTTGTGTCTTCTTTAAGAGAGTTGCTCTGCTATCTGTGTGTTAGCATCATTCCATCATCAATGTGTGTTTCCCCCCCCCCCCCCCCCCCCCCAAAAAAACATGTAAGGTAAATTGATCATGCCAAATGTACATCTCAGAGTCACCCATATAATTTCCTCCTCCTCTCATTGCTTGCTTTTTGTTCTAAAATATGCTCTGAGAATGCATGGTATGTTTTCTTGGAGATGCATACCCTTTCATCATGTGTGGTTATCAACTGATGTGATTGCATGTTAGTGTTATTTATTGTGTGGTTTGGTCTGTTTTGTGATTTGTTTTTCTTATTTTTATTTTTTGGGATTGCTAGCTGAGGGAGGCAAGTATGAAAGTCATCTAATCTAATTTTTTACTTGCTAAAGAATGTTATGTCAGTATTAGCTGGTACATCTTCCTGTGTTGCATTCGGCATGTCCTGACAATGAACCTTTACTAGCATGTAGAATGCTTGTCCCACAGTCTGTGACCTTTACTTCCACCACCCTTTCCATCTACTTGCCCTAGTACCAGTTCCTCCACTGCTTCAAGCACAATAGGCCACATGGGGATTTACAGCAGTAACAGTGCATTTCATGTAATTGATATATGATTTTTAACAGCACATGTACAGCAATATTTTTAGGCTATTTTAGACATTTCCATGACTGCATGAGAGGCACTACCATTCAAAAGTTTGGGGTCAGGAAGATTTTTTAAATTATTATTAATTAATGATTGAATGATTGAAATGAAGGCTTTTATTCAGCAGGGATGCATTAAATTGATCAAAAGTGATAGTAAAGACTTTTAAATTGTTACAAAAAATTCAAAAATATATTCATCAAAAAATCTTGAAAAAAAGGTTTCTAACAGCAGCACAACTGTTAATAGTCAGTATTGGTAAATTGGGGATATTAGAATGATATCTGAAGGATCTTGTGCCACTTGAGTAATGGCTGCTGAAAATTCAGCTTTGCCATCACAAGAATAAATTAAATTTTAAAAATATATTAAAAAAGAAAATGGTACTAATAACTTTACTGTATTTTTGATCAAATAAATGCAGCGTTGGTGAGCATAAGAGACTTCTTTCAAAAACATTTAAAAATCTACCAACATTTTTAGTGGTAATGTATTTTGGGCTTTTTCTGTTAAATTACAACTGTTGAGTTTACTCATGGTGTCAAGTACTATGGAAAGGCGAGATTCATTAGTACATATTAAATATGGTGTACCACAATTCACTGTGATAGAATCTGAAGCCAATTACAGAGGCATTATTATTATTGTTATTATTATTATTATTATTGATGGACTTTTGCCTTGTAATAAAGAATTTGAACCATTTTATATTATTTGTCATAAGCATGTGCCACTGTGCCAAGACAGTATGTTTTATTGTGCTTTTGACATGTAACATAGAGGATTCAAACACGTTGTTATAATGAGCAAATGAGGGAGTACAGCAACATACCTTTTTTAAGTGGCAAAGAAATAAAGTAACATTCACACACATTTAATAACAATGACTTAGACATATTTATTGTCATTGTAACAGAGTTACAATGAAATTCTCTGACACAGTCCAGTAAAAACAACAATCCCATTGAGAATATCCATTAGCCATTCCTCTTGTGCCCACTATAATAGTCAATGTTCCTGTACAGTCTGAACACTTCACCTTTTTCATCAATTCCTAGTGTACTTTGAGTTACAGTTTAAACTTCCCCTCACAAAAGAGTTGGTGAAACCGGTGAAAGCAATGTATGTACCACATCCCAACTATTCGTATTAACTCCTCTCGACCTTATATAACTTATAATAGGTCTCCCTATTTAAGTATGTTAAAAAAGTAGAAGTATATAAACCAGTTTGAAAATGTTCATGATGTAAAGGTAAGAGAGCAAATAAATAATCTATCACCCCAAAGTGTCCGTAATCAGTGTGTATCTATGTGAAATGGTGTTGCTTATTCACAGGTCTTGAACGAGGCAACAGAAGATAACCTGATTGACCTGGGACCAGGGTCTCCTGCAGTGGTCAGCCCCAGGATCAGTGCTACTCCTCCATCCAACTTGCCTCCCTCTGTGACTCCAGTTCGCTCCGCCTCTCCAGCCACACTCTCCTCCAGACTGGCTGGTTTGGGTGAGTCTCGTACCTTGGATCCACAATGTTTTTTACATTTTAGATATCAAGTGAGAAGCTCTCTTGTTTGTCTGTACTAATGTGTGAATAACATTGCTTTACAGATGTCGGTTCTGACAGTGTGAGTGGCACCTTGAGCTCTCTGACTGCCGGTCAAACCCAAGATGACTTTGAAATGTTTGCCCAGACCAGGACTGGCAACATTCCTGAGAGAAAGAAGTATGAATCATTTCATATAACTAATAGTTTATAATGTATAATAGATTAAGATGCCTCCCCGAAAGGGATACTCAAAAATGAAAATTCTCTCATCATTATCTCACCTTCATATCATCCCAGATGTTTATAACTTTCTTTCTTTGGATTAACACAATTAGAAATAGAATCCATCTCTGTGAGTCCATATAATGCAAGTGGACAGTGCCTTCAATATTGATGCTTCATAAGCCAAACAATGTGAGCATGATGGCAATACATATGACCCCATTTGATGAATCATATATACATAAATGCCAGGACATTGTGAAGACGTTTGTGAGAAGTAATGGTCCTCTGTGCTTCTGCATCATCTCTTGTGTGAGTTTCACAACACACTTACATCACACCTCACAATGTGCTGATGTGTACATCAGTTTGTGAATGCGCATGTGACAGTTGGCCAGAAACAATGCTTTGTAGTTTAAAAAGTTACAAATATTAGTATTTTTCTTCACACCAATAGTTTCACTTCAGAAGATATTGATTTATGTACTTTGACCATGTGGATTCCTGCCGTGTTCACTTTGTGTGGTTTTTGAAGCATCAGTTTTGGAGGTGACACTTGTGACTCATAGAATAAATACATATAATGTATGTATATATGTATTTATTTGAAGGGGGTCTCATTTTATGTAAAATACGAAATCAAGCTGTCTGAAATAATAAATTCACAAATCTTTATTATACAATAAAGGTGGAGGAGGGGCAATGTACCCTAATGTTATGATATAATTTATTTTATACTATACTGTATTATATTAGCTTTAACTTTGCTGGTTTTGAACTAATAGTACACCATTCGAAGACACAAAGGCTTCAAGTGGAGTGGCCCCAACTTTGGATGTCAGACAGCAACCCACTGGGGTGAGTTTTCTTCGACTCTCTCTCTGTGTAATTTTATTTTAGGTCAGTTTTTTTGCCTTTTCCATCAGTATATGTGCATACGGAATCATTGTTTTTATGTCAAAGAGGTATCATAGAATTGGATGTTGATGCACTTATTTTGGAGTGGTTCAGAAGGCATATGAATTACTGTCATTTTCAGAGGATACTACAGTACATAGTACACAGCAATGTAGTAGTGTACCAAACCCCAAATTAGTAAGTGAGAAGGATGTGACTCAGAAGATGACACTATTTGATGAACATATACTGCATATTTGAGTTAGAAGAAACCATTTCTGGAAGCAGGATTTTAGATTCTGCTTTTATTTCGACATATTTGTTATTGTTGACTGGTATTATTCTTTCAGTGCAGCTCAAAAGAGTCTTGAATTGCTGTATTTTGCAATGACGCTCAATCTGCGTTTGTTTGATTTATTACCATGGGGCTAGTTTGCTAATATTGGTTTGATTAAGACTTTTAAGTTGAAATCTTATTGTTTTTGTTTTGTTTTTTGTTGTTTGTTTGTTTTGTCATGTTTTCTTGGGATTATTATTTTTATTTATTATTTGCTTTGCTCCGGCCCATGGTTTGGGCCCGTAGGCAGCTCTTGACCAGTCCTCTGTCATGGATGACATTGAGGAGTGGCTCTGTACTGATGTGGTGAGATTTCCTTGCGTTTATTTTATTTTTTCTTCTTCTTCTTCAGGACATAACCCATTTTTCTGAAAAGAAATATGCCCTTGTCACTGCATATTTCTTTTTGGTTGCCTTTTTATTCTTGGCTGAATACCTTTCATTTAGGGTCACTAACGGCTCTCCTTGTATGGTTTTGCTGCGTTCCTTACTTTTCTGGGATATTCTTATAATTGTTTTCATTTATTTTAGTATACACTGAGTGCATAGTGAGTAGACTCTTGCTTGATATGCTTTTAATGCTTTTATTTTCTATACTAATGGCTCTTTTGGATGTTTTGGCTAATGTCATTGTTAAATCAAGAATAGGTCATTTGAAGGGAAAAAATTATCATGTTTGATGTGGTTGCAAAAAAGATGTGTTCCTTTTTGGACAAGCCTTCATGCACTGAAATCTTTTACCCTTTTGCTGCTTTCTTTCAGAAAGGAGATGAAGGAGAGGAGGGTGTGACCAGTGAAGGTATGGAGAATTACTTGATTTACATTACCGTTCAGAAGTTTGGGGTCAATATAAGGTTTTTAGGGGCTCAAGCACCTATTGTATCTGTTAGTTTTCTTATTATTTTTCCCGAATGGGAGTCAAAGGCAGCCCTATCAACGGCACATGAGAAAATGATGGAATTTGTCACAATTGTAGAGATGGTCACGAATAGTGATTTGACCAAATTTGGAGTCTCTAGGACCAACTCTATAGCGCCACCACCAGTTCAAAAATTCACTTTTCTGAAGGTTATAACTTTTGAACCATTTGCTCTAGACAAATGTAATTTAGTACACCTGATTCATCTCTTCATGCTGATGCCATTCAACATCTTACATTAAGTCTCTGCCCATTACAGTAGCGGACATTTTGAAAAGTACAGTATTCAGGGTTTTTTCGCTACCCCTCCCTCAAATTTTGTCCAGTTTTGTCCAAACATCAGATTATCTTTGGACTGAGCCGTACAGAAATGACTGAACAGATTTTTAAAATTCATCTTTGTTCTAAAGTTATGATGTCACAAACTTAACGAGGTCGACCCGAAATTGGTTCAGAGACTGTATCTCGGCCCAACTTTGACTTCACAGTATTACTTTTGTTTACTGATTTTTTTATCAAATAAATTCCTTGGTGAGCATACTAGACTTTTTAAAAACGTTTAAAAATCTTCCTGACGACAAACTTTTAAACACTAGTGTCTATCTGACCATAGTCCCAGCAATTATATGCAGTATTTGACTTTAAATGCCCCATGAAAACTTTCTTCCAGAGTTTGACAAGTTTCTAGAGGAGAGAGCCAAAGCAGCAGAGGTGGTGCCCACGCTGCCGACACCCCTGAGTGACGAGCTTTCTGCTGCGGCCGGCGCTTCTGTGAGTGCGAGTAAAAAGGCTGGCAGGTCCGAAGACTCCCTCTTTGCCTTGTAGATAAGTGTCAGATCCTCTGGGGCGGCCCAGCACTGCTCACGTGGCAGTGGTGGGTCAGCCGCTTTGCTGATCCATCAGCGTCTCTTCTTTCTCTCCTGCTTCCTGCTTCTCCAGCACAATCAACACTATCACAACTGAAGTGATCAGAACTGTTTCATGATCTAGACATTTTCATAATAGACATTTTCATACTCTATCAAGATTTCATTCCATTGAAAATGCTGTAGAAGATCCACTCATAACTCCCTTAAAGCATACCGTTCCTTGTGGGTTCAAGAGGTCAATGTCTATTTTTTTAATTGATGTTTGTGGTATAAAGCAAGGCAAATTCTTGTAAAGTCTACTACCAGAATTTTGTGTTCACTGTGGTCCTGCATGCAGCAGCTGGATAATCCTATTTCTCTTTCCTCAAGAATAATCTGTATAGGGAGCTAATAATTGTTTTTTCTTCTTTTTTCAGTTTTATTTACCTGAAGATTTGCTTTAAAGGGATGTTATACATAGGATTATTTATTATAAAATTTCTAATTAACACCTCTGACAAGATATACCATAACGGAAAGCTGATGTTAGCAGTTCAGCTGGCAAATTTAAGACTTTTGTGTCATATTATCAGAAATTAGTACCAGTGATTGAATGACATAACTATTAGAGAGAGAGAGGTTTTAAGCATAGTTGTTATTTGATTTAAAACACATTTTGCTAATTGAATATTGAACTGAATAAGGCAAAATGACAGAAGTGACATGTCTGCACCACATCTCTTGACTACAGAGCTCACATCAGAGGGAAAATGATATTATTAATATTTCACTGGATACTTTTAAATGTTATTATTTTACCAGGCAAACCATTGCCTATTAAAAAGGATTAATAGGAACAAAAAGTATGTATTTCAATTTAATTTGCACTGAAATAATTATTCGCCTTTCGGCTGTGTTAAAAGAGCTTTTGTTCAAATACAAAATTTAAGCTGTCGTTCTTTTCACTGCTGTCTATTATGAGGCCGAAATCAAATGGAGTTTCCAGAGAACTGATGGTTACTGCGAGGCAGTTTAAATTGGATTTTACGTTGCACAACTGCAGCAGAAGTGGTGTCGAGCTTAATGTTATTATTGGGAATGAAATGGATCTGCCTTAAAGAACAGGTTGTGGGTAGTTTAAGGTGTAGTCCACTAATGGTCATTTAACCTTTGGTACTCTCATGTTTGCACATCAGAGGTTTGATTTAGTGAGGTGAATGTGCTTATGTAATATCTTTAGTTCGAGTGCTGTCGCGCTGTTGTGTACATTCTGTTTCGACGGACCAAATGTTTAACCTTAGCAAAACATTTAAGCATAGAGTCAACTAACTTAAAACATATATTGCTTTTAACGTCCAGATGATTTTTAGTTGTGTTTGTATTTGTGTAAGATTTTATTTGTTCATATAGGTGAGCATAAATCAAAGGGACAGTGCACTTTTGCATGGCTAATAATTTTATATGATTTGTCACACTACACAAAATATGTATTACAAATGAAAACAACCCCAGATCTTTTGAGTAACTAAGCTTTGGGCCTCTTGCACTCAGAATTTCAGTTTGAAAATTGTTGGATTTTGAGGATCGCCGCCTTTGGCAGAATTATTGGGAGCTCATTATGCTGTGTTTGTGAACTTTACAGTTACCACATAACTTTCGTGGAGCTGTTGAAACAATTTAAGGGAAACAGTTTAGGGAGCTTCAAAAAGCCCAAGTCCTTCATCAGGTGACAATGATATGTAGCCTGATATATAGTTATTCTGAGAAGAGCTAAGAAGAAATTCAAAGATAGCTGTAGCAGGGAATGCAGCTTGATTATGCACAAGCATTAATACTAAAATATTATGGCAACTGTCTATTTCTGTTGATAATAGGAGATTTGAGGGACATGATTGGTGGTCACAATTGACTAGTTTCTTTCTCCTATCTCCTCCTATATTACTTATATGTACACTAAACTCAATGAAAAAAAAAACAGATTTTACCTCCCATGGATGTTAACCATCCCATTTAAATGCTATTGTTATTGTTTTTGGCACTATCGCTGAAATGGTTCATCTTGGATAGAAACACGTTATTTAAAGGGTTAGTTCACTCAAAAATGAAAATTAGCCCATAAATTACTCACCCTCAAGTCATCCTAGGTGTATATGACTTTCTTCTTTCAGACGAATCCAGTCTGAGTTATATAAAAAATTGTCTTTGATCTTTCAAGCTGTATAATGCCACGCATCAGTCCAAAAGAAGTTAAATAAAAAGCGCCCATCCATTAAAAAAAGTGTCTCACACGGCTTCGGGGGGTGAACAAAGGCTTCCTGTAGTGAATCGATGCTTTTTTGAAAGAAAAATATCAATATTCAAAACGTAATAATCACTTTAATGTGGCGCCAACAGTTGTACACGGAAGCAGTTCCGAGCAGATGAGGCATGAGGTCGGCATTGTGCATGCGCCGGTGTGTCTCGTGAAAACCAACGTTTGTTAACAGGAGCAAAGGAAGCAAAGTTTCCGTACTTTAGCAAAGGAAAACCAGTCTCCTCTTGGCTTATATCAAAATCCTCTGACATTCTTCTTTACAAATCTTCGTTTTGTACTTCTAATAAGGGACCATTGTTTTGATCTCTGTGCTGCACTTCCGCATTCGTCACTTCTGAGCGGCGCATGCACAAAGCTGACCTCGACCGGAGCTGCTTCCGTGTACAACTGTTGGCGCAAGCTACATTAAAGTGATTATTACGTTTTGAATATGGATTTTTTTTTTTCAAAAAAGCATCGATTCGCTACGGGAGGCCTTTGTTCACCCCCCAGAGCCGTGTGAGACACTTTTTTATGGATGGGCGCTTTTTATTTAACTTCTTTTGGACTGATGCATGCAACACCCGCTGAGTGGCATTAAACAGTTTGAAAGATCAAAGACAAATTTGTCAAAATAATTTATGGGCTAATTTTCATTTTTGGGTGATCTAATCCTTTAATTGAAGTGGCGTTATCTCCAGTTACCTTCAATTTCTCAATTGTGCAATTTCATCACTTAATGCTGCACTACGGTTTGATTTCATTTGAAGTGGTTTTAGCTGTAAATTAGTCTCAATAATGTACAGTTTGAGAAAGCAGAACACATTTAGTCTTTTTTTTCAGACGTCAGTATTGGTTACTGTATATTAGAATGAAGGGACTGTAAAGATCGAAATCATAAGTTTGGAGTTTCCACTTTCTTCAGTGCAGTTGGAGTGAAAATGTTTTTCTGACTTATTGCAATCAGACAAAAATGATCCCCAGCATATAGTCAGGTTATGCCAATGTATTTTGTACCATTGAGAGCTTTTTAGGAACGGCACTTTTCTTCTCTTTGATATGTATTTGGAGTTTGTGTGTGTGTGTGTGTGAACAGCTCCCAATATCCTGAAAGACACCGTGTTTATCCTGTATTTACCAAGGGATGGGAAGGAGAGAATCTAGCTTTCTGAAATGACAAATCCCTATAAAGAAAACTGAAACTACAGTGTGTGTGTGTGTGAGTGGGTAGATGAGTGAGTGTGTAGGGCTGGAATAAGCTGTACTCTCTTAACCGGTGATCATTTCTGTGGTCAATCTTGGTTTTACAGATTGTACTGGTGTTGGTCTGTGTGCTTACCTGTTGTTATACCTCAAGCTGCTCTCTGTACTGTTTGATTCATGCATGTGTTGAACTCCAATAAAACATAATGAGATGGTGATCTGTAACCAGACTGTCTGTTGCACATGTATGTCTTATAGAATGTATTCCACTCTTCTCAAACTGAGTTACAAGTTGTTACATGTAAAATGTTAAAATGTAGTTCACTGTGATACTTTTATTTTTGTACTCTTTTTAAAAATATATTAAGCACTGAAACACACACACATACACATACACACACACACACACACACACACACACACATATATATATATATATATATATAATGTAACACCTGGACAAATCAGACACAATTAATTGTTATATTTAACAAATAATCCCTAACAAGCCAACTATGAGGGTCTATGGACCCTTCCCCCAGACCTCTGGTTATCACAGTAACCAGATAAACTTTACGACTTGTTGACAGAGTCTCCCTCTTACTTGATTCTCTCTGAAACCGACACATTCTGCCTATAGAAAATGACTCATCTTCATTAATTCATAGACACCTTTCTATGTATGAACATGCATAACCTCAGGTCATTCTGTGTATTAATGCTGTTCTTGTATCTTGTATTGTGTACTGTTTTATGCATGCTTATGATAGAACCACTAGTTAATGTAACCTCACCTATACCATGTTTGGTATCTACGAATTTGTATTTTGATGATCTGAATGTGAGTGCATATCATATGTTGATACCTATGAAACATATTAGTGTTCTAAGAATCTTTAACAGTTTTTGCATCAGCACCCAATCCATTTACATATGCACATTACCATGCTGGGAGACAAAGAGTCACCATTGGCTCACTGACCCCCCCGGTGGTGTGACCTCCATAGAAGTTAAACGGCCTCACTACATTAGTGACCTCCTCTCTCTTCTCTCATCACCTTCCCCTCTTCTGCTTTGTCTTTGTCTTTGACTCACTAAGTCCCAGGGCCAGCCTCGACTACAGCCATGTCTTCACTTTGCATCTGGGAGAAAACTCTCCCAACCACCACCGAGTCAGAATAACATCTTTGGAGTTTGTCACTCTTCAAAACCGGAAGAACGTGATTGCAATTCCAACACCATCGAACCTTCGAATCATCAAATTATTTTCTGTAGCCACGAAAAATATAATTTCTTAGAGTTGATATGGAATTATGTTCGCTGGATGAACAGATTAGATGATGGTAATATAAATTCTGCTACAGTTACTACTGGCAGCTAATATAAATAATTGTATTTAATTATAATTAATTGTAATTATAAACATTTCACTTTTGAACTAATTTGCTACAATACCACACACACACACACATATATATATATATATATATATATATATATATATATA